GACTCTGTAAACCGCTTGGAGAGGGCTGAAAGCCCTATGAAGCGGTATATAAGTCTAACTGCTATTGCTACTGCTATTAGTTCGCTTATTTGGCTCGTGACTCTCCAAGACTCCTGGCCAAGTTTTGCAGATCTCAGCCTGGCAGCTCTCCAAGCCAGATAAGGTCTGTGACCGTAAATCCTCCCTCGAAAGACTTTGCTGGATGTGAAGGAGCAGAATTCACAGTCAATTAACAAAAGGGGTTATTGTCGGGTCCAGGAGTTGGCTTCCGGCTCTTGGGAAGCCTCTCTCAGAACAGCTGGTGTGCAGGACTGTACATCCAACTGGTGCGACGTGGTCGGGCTTCTCGCTCGCACGCACGGTTCTAATTTGGAAGTGCCTCCTCTTGTTAGAGACAATCCTTGACTTACAGCTATCCATTTAGTGGCCAGAGTTAACAATGGCACTGGGAAATGCGACTTATGCTCGTTTTTGAGACGGCCGTTGCAGCCTTCCTGCAGGGTTGCGTGATCAAAATTCAGGTTCTGGGGAACGGGCTCGTATTTACGGCGGGTCGCAATGTCCCGGAATCGTGTGGTCCCGCCATTTGCCACCTTTCTGATAAGTCGATCCGGATTCACTTAACAGCCTAAACGTAACAACTGCAGTGACTCTATTAACACAGCTGCGGTGAGAACGGTTGTGAGAACGGGGCGAAACTCACTTAACAACCGTCTCGCTCGGCGACATCGACTCTGGGCTCAGTGGCGGTCGCACATCGAGGACTCCCTCAGCAGTTTCTCACGGTTTCCTTTCCTGCCTGCAGGAGGAAGTGGAACGCATCGAAGACGAGCAGACGTTTGAGGAGCTGAAAATCCTACGGGAAATAGTTTACAACCAGTTGCAGGAGCTGGCCGAGGTGAGTGATGCACCCAAGGGTTTTACTAGAGGTTGACCGTTAGCGAGAGAAGCGCGGCGGCTCCGTGGTTTGATGACTCTGGAGATGGGCCTGGCTCTAGCGGTTCGAGTCCCAGCACTGCGCGGCGGGGTGAGCTCCCGTCACCTGCCTCAGCCCACGAAAGCACGTTCTGCATGAGTAGATAAATAGGTACCACTTCGGGTGGGGGGAAGATGGACGATCAGATCCCCGTGGTTGCAATGCCCATTTGCAAGGCAGCTTCGGTCGTGGGAGAAGGTCTCATGTGACATTGAAGGATGTGTCCGTCTTTAACAGTAGCAGAGCTGGAAGGGACCTTGGAGGTCTTCTAGTCCAACCCCCTGCTTAGGCAGGAAGCCCTACAACCACTTCAAGTGGTTGTCCAATTTCTTCTTAAAGACTTCCAGTGTTGGGCCATTCACAACTTCTGGAGGCAACTTCTGTTCCACTGATTAATTGTTCTCACTGTCAGGAAATTCCTCCTCAGTTCTAAGTTGCTTCTCTCCTTGATTAGTTTCCACCCATTGCTTCTTGTCCTGCCCTCAGGTGCCTTGGAGAATAGCTTGACTCCCTCTTCTTTGGGGCAACCCCTGAGATATCAGAGCACTGCTATCATGTCTCCCCTAGTCCTTCTTTTCATTAAACTGGACATATCCAGTTCCCGCAACCGTTCTTCCTATGTTTTAG